ATGAGTTTTGTACATAACTTCGCTATGAGGTCATGGGTTTTGAGCATGGGATTATTTTGGTTACATGATTAGTTTGTTATGATTTGATTTCGCACATGTGACCACTTTAGGTCACATGACTACAGGTGAGAAGAATACTATATAAGGAGGCCGATGCTGCCGAGGAAGATAGGTTCTTCACGCTTTGTTCTAATTACTTTTCCTACTTATTACTTTAACGAATATAAAACACCTTTACGATCTTTACCTTTATTTGCAACATTATGGTTACGCCAAGGAAAGTGCTTTACGAAGAAGAGTTAGAGAAAGCTTATGATAGGCGTTTCCAATAGAAGACAAGGGTCTTGTACTATCAGAAACGTAGGCAGAGGCCTAGAGCTATCGTAAGACGAAGGAAGAGGAAGACAGAAATGAGAAGTATCGTTCCCCATCGCCAAGAACTAACTATCCAAGGAGGGATCATTACATCAAGATTTGTTTTTGTAAGCGGAAATTGTCTAGGAATGCTCAAGTTCACTCGTTTTATTTATGACTACTAAGAGTGAAGTAGATTTGGTAAAGTAAAATAAAATTGTAAAACAATATTATATTGTTAAGGTCTCTTCTTTGTTGCTTGATGATGTCTAAAGCTTTGGAGGTACTTTGATATTTATATTCTGTCTCTGTCTGTTTACAGACTATATCTATTTATCATACAACTATATACCACTCTGATTATAACTCACAACGTCGGCATTCTTGAAAGGTGCAAACACCTGGAGACCCTGAAAATCACCATACTCTCTTTAGCAGTTACAATATAACTACCCAGAATCATACTGTTCCCAATGGTAATTATCCGATTTTTTGAGTCTTGAGACTTATAGCCTAGTTCCCAAGTCAAACTGAGTTGGCTCTAATTGTGTCTGTCATTGATGAAATGATCAGTTTCATCTGCAGGTTGCATCTGCGAAGGTAGCCATAATCACAACTTTTTTTTAGGTCCTTTAACTTTAAACTTCTATAACTCCTTGCCGAACTGATAGATGTCGTCCAGAGTACTACCGTAGAAGCCATTAGAATTCATGGAATGTTGCAACTAGATTTCAGAATACATTGCAGTTACAAGGATAATTTTCAATACTACAACAGTGATTGAAATCCTGTTACCCAGAGTCATCAAGGGTTGCTGAGTAAGGAAATATTTGTCAATCTGGTGGAATAGCTTTCTGCGAATTAGTAGAAAGTGTCTCTTGATATTCTAGACTCTTCTGGATATTTTAGAGTGGATGTGAATATATTGGTCTCTCACTGAGATTCTTTACCATTTGATACCATCTCTTTGTGTGAAAACATCCCATTACCTACAACTTATTCCAAAAATATCACATCTTTGAAGCCTAGTAATCCTCTGAGTAGTTGACAGATTTACTCCGCTCTACTTTTCTGACCTAGCCGAAGGTCATCTCTCATATATCCCGCAAATAGAATCTGGTTGGACAGACAGCGGTAACTTATACAGTGTTATTCTGACACCTTCAATTCTATAGCACTATAGTCATAGGACGCAACTGAGATTGATATGCATGATGATGTGCAGGTCCCATAAGAGGGCCGGAGGTGGGTATTGGAGACAAGAGATTCCATTTTCGGATGGGGTTATCTTTCTTAGGATGACTCCTAGGTATCAGATTCCAATATTCCTAACATTTTCATACTAGTACTTTTGATTCAGCTCAAGCATGGGATCAGAAATATGAAAATATGGCTTGATTTACTCATATCTTCTAAGAGACATATATTTCTTGGGAACTTTATAGCAGCGAGGTGCTGAGTGATAACAGCAGCAGAGGATTAGATACAGTGAAGTCTTTCACCAATCATTTCTTGCCTCTTTTGACCAATGAAGAGCAATTGATGGCTCTCGGTGGAGACTCATCTTAATCATCAATCCAAACCTGATTTTCAGCTCACTAGCTGAAGTTGGAGTCCATCTTCTCAATTCCTTCCTCCCTTCTTTCAAAACTGACTTCCCTTGCTGCTAGTGCCCAGCCTTCTTTACTCCTCTTCCTTCCTTTTTATCCTTCTTCTTCATTTCTGCATACTTGTCAGTATTGACAGCCAACTCTGCGAAAATTTTATCTGTAAAAAAGAATGAAAATATGGTATATGGATCATGGTCATACTCTATAGACAGTAAAGCCTACCATCCAACCCAGATCCCATAAACACAAGCACTGTAGAGGTAGGATTATACCTTTGAATTATACTCCAAATATGGAGAATGGAAGGGCTGGAACTGAGGAAGGACTGGGAGTAACTGGGAATGGGCACACTGCTTGAATGCTGACTTTCTTTCTTGTCGCATAGTAGAAGGAGCTATCAGTCTGGACAGGTTGACTGCTCGCTTTTGCTGAGTTCATTACCTTTTGGAAGGATCAACATCACCCGTATCGCTTAAATGACTTGCAGTACTGCTTGTATAGATTGGTAAATAAGCAAGAGCTTTCTGTTTTGGTGGCATTTTAATATTGACTGAAGGTTTTCCTGTCCTGACTGTGCTATCGCTGGGTGAGCTGAGGTCAAGAAAGTGTTCAAAACTATTCCTCACTAGGCTAGTGTTACAGATTTCAAAACAGATCAGAATGTTGACAGCTTATGGGATAATACCATTATAATATTATAATATAATATAATAAATACAAACAATCTACAGTCACTGGTCAAAAGTCTTCACGATCTCACTCTCAATGCCAAGCTTAATTACATAATCAGAAACATCGCGGTGGCCCTGCTATACTACACCGGTGACTAGTATTTAGTATACCATCCTTTAGCTTCAATAACAGCCTGGATCCAATCAGGCATTGAATCCAGCATTGATCCAAAATACCCTTCCAGTACCTCCTCTCATACTTTTGGCAATATTTCACCGAGTCGCCTCTGAATTGTTTTCGGACTACCCTTTAAGTTGACTACCTCTGGGTACATTCTATGCAGGGTACGCTTCATGTGAACCCATATATGCTCAATTGGATTGAGGTCAGGAGAGTATGGTGAATACTCGTATAGGCTAATGCTGTGCTCCTCCAAAAAGGCCATAGATACCCTTGCTGTGTGGACTCGTGCCCCATCCTGCATGAACAGTGGCTCTAAATCTATACCCAATAGGTATCACCAGAAAGGAAGAAGTCGTTTTGATAGCATTCCAATGTAATATTCTGTATTCATCGTCTTTTTGTCATTTAGACAATGCAGCTCACCATTCTCCAACCCACAGAAGCAAGCCCAAACCATCAATGAGGCACTTTTGTGTTTTGGTTTTGGGTCACACCATTCAGGCAACCATTTCTCCCATGGGTAGCGGAATACCCAGTGCTGTCGTACTGTTCCTGCTTTTTCCACCGTACACTCATGGCTCAAGATTACTCTATACCAATCTGTAAGAGTCCAGGTCTTGTGTTCTTTTGCCCATTGGAGTCATTTAGCAGCATGATCTTCAGTAAGTTTGACTCAGCGCTTGGCAAGCAATTTGCGAAGGTTCTGACTATGGAGGTAGTGATCGAGTGTTGACCTGCTGACATGTGGGCAAACAGTATAGTGAAGCTATCAAATTAACATATTAGCAATTATAGTTCAAGTTCTTTGCAGATTCCAGTATAGCACACACCTCCTCTTTTGATTGGAAGCGGTCTTTCTTCCAAGCTCGTTTGATACAGCTTTTATCACGCCTACTGAGTTTAGGAGGCCGCCCTGATCGAGGTAGATTGTGAATATGCTCGCGTTCTGAGGCTCACTTCAGGAATGACTGGACTGTACTCTCTGATCGCTCCACCAGTCTTGCAACAAAAGAATAGTTATGAAAGCACCAAAAGAAGGCAATTATCATGCCTTTAAGAACTTCAGACATTTCTCTTCGCTGGGTTTTAGGTTTGGGAGGCATCGCTGTGAATTGGTGATTGATATGGTACATTCTACGCGACCGTAACTGTCTCCAAAATTTATCGTGGTATTGCTTAGTCAGCGCCTCGCGAAGACTTTTGACCGGTGACTGTAGAAACGGAAGAAAAAAAAGAAAAACTGCTCGGCTATCGGTTATCGCAGATCCCTACCCCCCCCCCACACTTTACTGTAGACTACAAGATTCTTATCTCGCGTGTCTTTCTAAGCAAAAACAGCCCTGTGACCTCACGGGCTCCATCAGAAGCGGGAGCACAGGCCTACAGTACGGTACCATACTGTAACTTATTACACTTACTCAGTTACTATATTTGTATCATATCACTGATAACGTGGGACGGTATTACTATAATATGGATCCGCGCGGGTGCGAAGTGATAGACTGAGCAGCCTAATTGAAGAACAAGTGCAGGTATCATACCGATACTCGAGTACGATACCGTTGGAAGACCCTCTTGCCCCCCCCAGTGGTATCATACCGTGGTCGGTATAAAGACGGGGGGGGCTCTTGAGAATAGCTTGTCTTCTGTGATCCTCGCTCACACTATACTTGTAGATGTTCCCGGGTAAATGTAGTGTAAATGTAGTGCAGAGAGTGAGTGGATCACGCTGTGCAAGTACCGGCATTCGGTAGAATGGGGAAGTCATCCGAAGAAATTACAACCTCTGTGAGGGGAAGGAAAGTACGGTAGAGAAGGCCACCGAACTCCCTTGCCTACGACAACGTTGAATGGATCGGATCGTTCCTTGGGAATGACAATGGTGATCTTCCGCGGTATATAAATACCCCTTCTCCTCTCCTTCTGCGCTAACTTAAACATTCAGTTCAGAAGTGGGAACGACGCGCGGATCCTGACGGACATGCTGTACACGAGTATGTTACTCTATCTCGAGTACAGTAACGTAGGTCATCGTGCCCCCCCCCCCCTTCAAGACCATTTGGTGCTTCGCGCACACCGCCCCACAGTATCACACCGCATCACATCACACTCACAAGTACCGGTATTGTTGTCAATCATGCCAAACCCTCCCCACTCTTTATTCGGAACCTCTCAAGAGATAAAAAACGGAAAATGCTATAATACACTACGACGCCGAATTTTTCATGACTTCGAGCGCACAAAGAGAGCTTGAGAAAGATTGGGAAAGCTTGATCAACCCATCCATCCATCCATCAACCAAAATAGTATAAAGAAGGAACAAGGAGAAGAAAATCAGCCAACCCGTGCAAAAAAGAAAGGAGAAAGGGGAAAATGAAATAAAAAACAGATGAATGCCAATGCATGCATGCATCACGCAAACATAAAGTGTCAAAGTGAGTAAAAAAAAGGGCGGATAGAAAACGAAAATGGAGTAGAAGAAAGCCAAACGAAGGGGGAAAAAATGCTCATGGAAGACCCTAAGATAATGCCATGTGAGAAAGTGAAAAGGTCCCTCTTATCTTGGACGGAAAAAATTGGGTGAGGGAAGGAAAAAGCGAAAAGAGGATGCAAGAAACGAAAGGCAGAATCCCGGCCCAGAAGAAAGTGAAAATACAAAAAAGAAGGTAATGAGATTGCAAAACGAGATCCGAAATAGAAACCCCAAATAAAATAAAAATTTATGTCAATTTTCTTTTTCTCGTTCCCTTTTGGACTCCGAAACGGTTAAACGCCGATCTCCACCCAACGTAGAAAACATAACATAATCCACATTCTGCTCCGCGACAACGTCTCCCGAAGAGGGCGAAGGCGGGGTGTGAAGCAAAGAAAGTAGGGGTCGAATATTAAACTAAACTATCCACAATGGAATCTGATATCACCCTGAACCCCAGCAGGGCAAGTCTTTGAGCTCTGCCTCTCCGCCCAATCTCATGTCTTGACTCGTTTCGGTGCTGAGCCATCCGAATTGTCCGATCCCGGGCTCTTCCTCTTGCCATTCACATCCGAGTCCTCTCCAAAAATATTCCGACCTGTTGACACTACGGGTGTCTGGAAATTCAACGGGCTGGGAAGCATATCCGAGTTACCGCCCGCACGAGATGCTGATGTTCCAAAACCGATGCCCCAATCCTGATAGAATGTGGAGGGTGAAGGTAACAATCCGTTATCGCAGAATCGACTTGGTAGAGCAGAGATGGGAGTTTCTGATGGCGCGCCAGTTGTAGCTGGAGGTGGTCGTGCGAATGGATTGACTGGTCCACCACTGGCACCTGCGCTCCGAAGCGTGACACTGGGCGAAGGTGGCGGAAGTACAACCGGGTGGTTGCCTTCACCAACACCCTTGACCGATTGACCAGTTGTAGTGCCCGCAGATTCTCGTGGCGAAGACTCGGCAGTGGCGTCGCCAGCATCAGAGTGCTCGCTAGGTATTTGCACTTTGAGCCTTGGTCGTACACCAGGTTTCCCTGGATTCGATGCCATGCTGTTGGTTCGGGATGGTGGAGGCGGGACAGGTTCCACGGATGGTTGTTGGCCATTCGCGTTACTGGATGTTGTCGGCGCAGGTACGGAAGCGGGAGCAGGCTTAGGAGACTGCTTCTCTGACTTTACCGAAACGTTGTTCATGCCGCTTGTACTACTTGACCGAGCCACGGAGCCAACATCTACCGAATGAGACCGCGAGGGCTCTTGACCAAATCCGAAATGCTGCGCCAATAAGGACTCACTGGGTCCGATAGGTGTGAACATACTTCGTGATTTGGCGGGAGCGCGTTTTTCAATCGCCGGCGCAACTTGCTCATCGAGCGGCCTATTTGGAGGTGAGTTCTCAGACGATGGAACAGGGCGTTCAGAAGGGAAGGTAGGTGGCATTGATTGTCTCCTATTCGTCTCATTGATGTATGCTTGGGCTTGGGCTTGAGCCTGAGCCTGGGCTTGCGTCGTTTGAGGGTAAGGATACACGGGCATCTGATTCATGTTCCCCTGCTGCATAGGCATCACGGGTTGCGGCTGAGGCGTAAAGACGGGCCCACTGGGCATGTAAGGAAAGCCATTCTGCGCTGGAGGGCCTTGCGAAGAAGCGTAAGTAGATGGAGGCACCATATTCGAACTATTCCGTCGCTGGTTGCGGGAAGAAGGCCTGGACATCGGCTGTGGGGTCCCGACACGACCTTGCATATAGGTTCCTTGCCCCCCCATCAAGGTGGATGGAGGGATCGGAGGTGATGCAGATGTCGAATGACGGTTTCCCATATGCCCTAACGACTGGAGAGGGTGAGGCATGGGATGGTCGTTAGAAGACCGGGAGCCAGGTCGAGAAGGAATATCCATATCGTCATCGTCATCATCCATAGCATCCTTCTTTCCCTGAAAATCGGCCGGACCTTTGTGTTCATGGGGAGCCTCATACTGAGGTCAAAGTTAGTACGTGTTCTAGACTCGCAAACGCGATAAAAAGGAATTAAAACATACGTAACTGTGTCGTCCGATGACCTCCCGAATATCGCCCGAGCAGAATTCGTACAATTTTTTGTTGTGACCGAATATTATGACAGCAACATCTACCGAGCAGAGCACGGAAAGCTCATGAGCCTTCTTGAACAGACCACCTTTACGCTTTAAGAAGGTTCTGCGGACACGATTAATACATGAAAACGCCAAAAAAAAAAAAAAAAAAAAGACACACGGGACAAATTGGAAAACATACACTGATCGGTTTCGATCGTCTTTAATCGCTTTGATTTCAATCTGCGCGCAAACAGATATTAGTTAGTAATCTCCAATATAATAATAGATAAACTTAAGCTATTACCTTTCTTCGCCCCATCTTGTAGGGATGCCGGGGGTGATAGGATAGAGTGTTGGTGAAGAAACTATTCCGAGATGCAGAAAGTTTCGTATTCCGGGAGAGTGGGTGTTCAGGTAACTGGAGGTATCAGTGCAACAACGCAACGGTGCAAAGTTGATCAATCAATCAGGGTGAAGACTCCAAGAGCGACGTGGATTGAATCAAAAATAATGTGCGAACGCGGCAGTGGCGGAGGCAACGGCGGTGTTGGCTATGGAGGACGAGGTAGGGGACAACGGAGGGAAAGGATGTGGATGAGGCGAAAAGATATAGGTTGCCAGATGAATGGATGAATGGGTTAGGTAGGGAGGCAACGGGGATAGTTATGTAAGAGGAATAGGTAGGATACACAACGAGGGCTCTGCTGTTGGGGGGAAATGGTTGACCTGGAGGGAAATGTTGAAGGGTAAAAGAGAGAAGGGTATGTGTGTGTGTATATATATATATATAGATGTACTCGAGTATATGGGACTTGGGGGGGGGGACGTTGGCCGGGGGAGAAGGCACGGGGAACAGGAAGTTAGAAGACGGTGGGGGAAGGGTTCCTCAGGCCACGGGCATTTACTCTTCCCTTTGCCGTCACGGCTTAGTTCAAGCGTTCGGACAGTATCTGACAGCGGATGGTGGGATGGTGAGCGAAAGGGTAATTGACGGGACCAGTAAAGCGAGATTACAGCAAAAAGGTTAGAGAGAGGAGGAGAGTGTGCGTGCGGTAAGTCTGTCGCTTGCTATTGAGAGAGATTCTCGGCTTTGGGGGGGGGGCATGCAACCTTTTTAAAATAGAAACCGCCTTGATTGAATGTTCCCAAAAATAACTCTGCAAAATCTTCCTTAATTAGACTAAACAGGGTGAATTTACTACCATCCCTGAGGTACCATGCCCGATTAGGAATTATAACCCCTGTCAGTTATGGGTCGAGTTTAAACCCTGTCAAGTGCTCAACGCTTCCAACGGCTTCTGGCGACCTGCTGTGCTGCGTGGGTAGAAGGTACGACGAGTACTCGAGTACTCGTAGCTGAAGCCTCCACATCCAAAACAACCACGATAACTTCACCCTCCTATGGCACCACCGGTGGTGTACCGGTGATGATAATGAATGATTTTCCTTTGATATCAACCCTCCCGCGATGCCCGCGAAGAGCCTCCACCTCCCCCACCACACATACTGCACACGCTGGGGAAGAAGGGAGGAAGAAGAAAGCATGCTCGTGTCCTACTGTAGTCTCCTGCTCCCAACCTCTCGTCAACCACTCAGACCACAGTCGTCTAAAACAGGCGCGAATGCAAGCTTCGCGCTCCACCCCAGACGACGAGTCCGCTCACCGTGCTTCACATGACATGCAGGTACCGGACCATTTTAACTCCCCTCCATTTATCCATTTCCTCGCCCGCTGGTCAATAGATTATTATGCATCCCCCCCTCCCATTGTCAACCCACGCCCGGCCACAACTCCACCATCCATCCACCTTATGTTCGAGCGCGCAGCGTAGGTACTGAAAGTTTTATGCTAACAATTTGTTGGCATTATCAAGGGACCATGTTTCCCACACATCCTCCCTCTCTTCCTACACGCGCGCGCCCTCTACCCGCCATTCCCTGCAACTCTACTCTGCCGGTACAGTACTAGTGTTAGTATTTGTGTCATATTCAATGAATTTCAGCACGCGGGCGGAGAATTCCCAACATGGCATTCTTCTGGAACACCGATATCCCCCCCTTCCTCATCCTCCGGTGGCTTGCACCCCATCTCGTACTGTACGGTACTCGAGTATGTACGATACCGTACTCGAGCACAATATGTGCTCTTACATGGTGTACCGTGCAATCCTCGCTCCGTTATGGTTCAGGTCTTCCCGGTCTCAATTATACGATACATCAATAACGTAGAGTGATATTACCAATCTATTCAAGTATCTCATTCTAATACCGGTACCATGTTGCGCCCTTTCGAGTGCGGCGAGTGGATTCTCGTATCAGATATAATCAAGAGTAGTTAACATCATCATCATCATCACACCGGTAACATCTCGACCATTCTGATTAAACGCGCCACAGTACGGTAAACTACCTCTACCTCGTAGGCTTCACGCTCCAAGTTACTGTATACCCTCCCTTGCGGTTCCCAGTTCTTAAGTGACTTGCGATCCCTGCTTTCCGTGCTCTTTATTTAGCCTTTTCTCTCTGGCCGAGATGTCTCTTGCAGTGCGGGCCAACCTTGCACTTCTGTTCGATACGGTACCCTTCTTCACATTTTTCCGGATCTTTCCCTGGGATACCTGCCTGTGTTCTGGAGAATCGCTACTATTTGTCGATCGCTGCATGGGGTTCAATCAAATCAGTTATCCATGGTGGGTGGGAACCAGAACGAGGGGCTCGTCAGCCGAGTGTTTCAGCTTTTTCTTTCAATAGAACCTGGGAACGCACCCCTCATGTCCGACTGTTTCCCCCCACTCCCGTCGCTTGTTTGGCCATCCTGACGACATGGACCTAAGCATTCCGATATCTCTGCGGCATCCATGTTTACGATCGAGTCCGTTGAACTCTCCACAAAGCTCCCTCGCGTTAATCTACCGTAGCCGCCCATAATTTCCGGGTACCGTAGTAGGGTACTGGTGTTGGACTGCTGGAAGGAGAGAGAACTCATTTAATGACCATCTCTCCGCCTTTAACCATTTTTGGTGAGCTCGCAAGGTATCGTCGTTGCGGGCTTTGGGGCAACCTCGTAGTGCGAGGGATGGAGTTCCGTAGCATTCCCGCCTCGCCTCTGTCAGAACTCGACACGTCGTGGCCTCTACAACCCTTAAGGGTCCTGGGAGCGTTATCTAACGTCACCATTGTGCTTACAGTATTGCCCCGTGCTATTATACGGGCAGGATATGATTCACAACCGCTGATGTCGACAGTTCCACATCACATCGGAAGAAAGAGAAAAAACGTTGAAAAAGAATGCTACGGTACTCTCTACCCTACTCTCTGAAGGGAATGGAGAGCGACCCAACTCTAGCTACAGTACTCATTCTGGCGACCTATCTTCCGGGACCCCACTTGAAGCGATGTTGGGGGGAGATTTCAATATTCAAACGAACCACAATTTTGTTTTTCACTAGGGCGGGATATGGTGGGGTAAAGGAAACTGTCGATGCTGTGCGTTCTACAGTACAGGTATGATACGGTAACCATCTGCGAGTACTGCTACCGAAAATGGTAACTGATACTGATTACTTTACCTACAAATGGAGCAAGGGAGTTCTTAGTGCAAATTGTTGACTCCTTTCGCGCAATGTGAGCTCCAAGGGCCACCGGGGGGAAGTGATTGAACGATCGTTCCTTTGGTGGGCAACTTTTTGTTCACTTTGTTTACCCCAGCTTGGATATTCTAAAATTAGGCCATGTTCAGGGTCTCGTCTTGCTGGCAAATCGGGATCTCCCAGAGCCTCGGATGGCGGTAAGCCACCTCAGGGGTGTTTACCGATTTGTCACACTGCTCGAGTGGTTAGGGGGAGAGGCTTTCGCTGTGAAAGCGTTTCTCTGGCCCAAAGAAATTAAACCTTGATCCACTTCTCCCCATCGAGCAAGCGAGCAAGCCAGGCACCGGTAGCATTCGCTTTTCTCGCTCTCCACCTTCATTGTTTTTTCTTTTCTCCTTCCCTTTCTGCCGTCGTATCGTATCGGTTGGGTGTGGGGGGGGGGAAAAATCGGGTCCGATTTCTGTGGCTTCCCAGTGGCCACGGTC